CCTGTGATACCATGCTGAGGCTGCACCATTGTCTGTACCACCTTTATCCCACTTCTGGTTGGAGCAGGTCCCAGGATTAGGGAGACACCAGGAGTCCTATATAGTTAGATTGTTTTTGGTGCTGATCTTTCCAGAATCTGTTGGCCGTTAGGTCTGAGGGTTACACAGACCTATTTTGACCTATACGATGCCGAAGTTGGTATTATTTTCCTCTGGGACCAGTGCAATCCATGTGAGTCAGTGAGTTCTTGCCAATGTTTCCCTGCAATCTTAAAGCATTTGCCACACTTAAAAAATGGCATCTGATGTGCTGGCTGTCAGATCTAAGGGGAACCTGGACTGGTCTTTGGTGTAACCTGTAGGATGTCACGTCGTTGTAGTTTGCTGAGCCAGAAATGAGTTCTCTCCCAATGCAGGACATGCTCAGTCCTGTACCATAACCTTTGTCTCTCTAGACAAAATGGTGCCCGATTCTGCTCTGGAGGATAAACTGGGCTGTGAAATCTACCCTTTTCCAGCACTGCCTGTTTGGGACTTGCTGCTCTGTGTCTGCTCCTGGTCAAATCAAACAGACCAGCAGAATGGGCAGTTCTTTGTCTGGGTTCACCTCCTGAGCTCCTGGTAAGCATTTCTTCCCATCTTATTGCTGGTGGAGTTCAGGCTGCAGGTGCAGTTCAGATCATTGTTCCCTGAATGCCTCTGGGGTATCGGTCACTGCAACACCTTGTTGTGTCTGATGCTTTCCCACTTCTGTCTGTCTCCAGGTGGCTTTCTGCTGTCATTCTGTCCTTTCCTATTTCTTGGAATATGCCCTCTCTGCTTCATACTGGCTAATGTTTCTCTGTCTGTTTAAACATGTCTTTATTCTGTAATTTTGATGCTCCCCCAATGTGTAATATTTTAAGTCACTAAATTATTGTGCAACAATACACTATACGACTATCTAAGTGTACCTGCAGCCCTCATTGACTAAGGCTGGCTCCCAGGCAATACCTCCTTTGCCTTCCTGGCCAGCTCCTCCAAGGCTGCTCAGAGACCCCTTCAGGCCTGAATGGGCCCGAAGTCATCTGCAGGACTCATGGGTTCAAGTTCATCAGTGAACTTCACAAACGAGCTGAGCAGCAGCATAAAACTTTCTCGTAAATATTTGGACAAGCTCTTCTTATGCAGAATATTTTCAATCTACAGTTGGTTGAGTTTGAGGATGTAGAACCCACACAGATGAGCAGAGCAGTACAAGTGATAGCTTACAGGCGATAATACAAGAACATCTTTTCATCTGGAGTTTCTTCATTCTTTCCACCATTTTTGTCATAGGGAAGTTAGGTGAATGGCAAATTGCTGTACCCGGGAGACCATTCTACTGTCTGCTTTTGTCTATCCAGTGTTACCAGATTTAATGTTTGCCTTTCTGTGCTTAGCTTATCCAGTTGGTACCCTCTGTGTGTGTCTGTGCTGTGACAAATGACAGCTTCTCCCTAGCCCTGTCTTTTTAAAAGGCAAATAGGATCCACTGTGTGTATGTGTATACTGTGTTTTCTTTATTCACTCATTCTTTGGTAGACACTGGGTTGATTCCGTATCTTGGGGATTGTGCATGATGATACAGTGAATATGGGGGCATATGTGTTTCTTCACCATACTGATTTCATTTCCTTAGTGTGTCCAGCAACTGGTAGTAAGTTTCCATTTTTAGTTTTTTGAGGAAACTGCATGCTGTTTTCCATAGTGACGTTATGAATTTACATTTGTACCAACAATGTGCAAATGTTCCAGTATCTTTGTTATTTAGGCTTTTATAGTAGCCACTCAGTTAGGTGTGAAGCAATAGATCTTTGTGATTTTATTCACATTTCCCTAATGAGTGGTGATAGCAGACACATTTTGTATACTTGTTTTCCGTTTCTATGTCTTCTCTTGAGAAAGGTCATTTACCATTTGAGAAACTATTTGAAGTGAACAAATTTCTTATTATTTCATAATACGGTTGATACATCACACCCCTTTCCCTCTCCTGCGTTCCCTACCTGCTCTCCTCCTTCCTTATTTCTTCTTTTACATTTTGGAAGTGATGTACTTTTGGTTCGCAGTCATAGGCTTTACAATCCATTAGGTAAAGAATAGGGCCTGGCGCGGTAACCTAGTGGCTAGAATCCTCGCCTTGCACATACCAGGGTACCATATGGTCACCGATTCTAATCTGAGCAGTCACACGTCCCATCCAGCTTCCTGCTTGTGGCCTTGGGACCCTGCACCGACATGGGAGACCCGGAAGAGGCTCCTGGCTTTGGGCTTTGGATCAGTGGAGCTCCGGCCATTGTGGCTGCTTGGGGAGTGAATCATCAGGTGGAAGATCTTCCTCTCTGTCTCTCCATCTCTGCATACCTGACTTTCCAATAAAATAAATCTTTTTTTTTTTTAAAGAAAGAATTCAACAAGGAGCAAGTAGAAAAAAAAACCACTGTTGCTCAAGAGTGTAGACAAAGACTGTAAACAAGAATCAAATCTCAAAATGTCAGTTTCATTCATGTGGATTAAATATTTTTGTACTCTATATCAGTTATCACAGATCAGGGAAAATGTATGATATTTGTGTTTTGGTGTCTGACTTATTTCACTAAGCATAATAGTTTCCAGTTGCTGCCATTTGTTGCAAAAGATAGGATTTCATCCTTTTTTATGGATGAGTAGTATTCTACAGTGTACATATCAAATTTTCTTCATTCAGTTCTTATTTGTTTTTGGTTTGGTGCTAACTTATTTGTGTGTCTTTGCTTTTGTTGCCTTTCCTTTTGTAATCATATACATAAAAAAATACCATTGTATAAACCAATCTTATAAAGCTTGTGAATTTGCAAGTTTGGATCTCACATTGAAGTTTATACTTCAAGTTGAGTTTTATGTTTCAGTTGTACGAGATCAGGATCTGATTTCCTTTTTCTGCGTGTGAATATCTGGCTTTCCTAACGCCATTTAATGAAGATGTGTTTTTCTTTTCCCATTTTGTGTTCTTGGAAACTTTACCCAAAACTAATTCACTGCAAATGTATAGATTTATTCTCGGGCTCTCTGTTTTGTTGCACTTGTTCGTGTGTCTCTTTTTATGCCTGTATTATGCTGTTTTGATTACAATCACCTTGAAATCAGGTGGAATAGTATCTTTAGCTTATCTTTTCTCTCCAAATTGTTTTGGTTAATTGAGGTCCCATATTATTTTTAGAATTTTCTTATTTATTTTAAAGATGTCTTTGGAGTTTGATAGGCATTTCTTTGTAGTATTTTTTCAGTTATACAATTTGGTAATATTCATTCTTTTTTTAAAAAAGATTTGTTTATTTTATTGGAAAGTCAGTTATATACAGAGGAGAAGAGACAGAGAGGAAGATCTTTCTTCTTCTCTGTTGATTCACTCCCCAAGTGGCCACAATGGCTGGAGCTATGGCAATCTAAAGCCAAGAGCCAGGAGCTTCTTCTGGGTCTCCCACATAGGTGCAAGGTCCCAAGGCTTTGGGCCGTGCTTGACTGCTTTCCCAGGCCACAAGCAAGGAGCTGGATGGGAAGTGGTGCTGCTGGGATTAGAACCGGCGTCCATATGGGATCCCGGCGTGTGCAAGGCGAGGACTTTAACCAGTAGACTACTGCGCTGGACCTGGCAATATTCATCCTTCAGTCCATCAGTATGAGATAAGTTTTCTTTTATGTTTGTCTTCTCCAGTTTCTGGCGTTAGTGTTTTGTCTTCCTTTTCCTTGGTTAAATTTATTCCTATGAGCTGTTGTTGTTTGGTAGCTACTGTGAATGGGATCTTTTTTTTTCTTTTTTTCTTTCTCAGATAGTTTGGTGTTGGTGAGTGGAAATGATACTAAATTTTATATGCTGATTTTATATTCTGTAACTTTACTCATTTGGATTAATGTCTAGATGAATAATAGGCTTCCCCAAAAGTAAGATTATCATTTTTAGTTTTTTCATTCATGTTTTAAAAAATACTGAGACTTTCTTTTTATGTCTTTTTTTTTTTTAAGACACAGACGTAGTTATCCCATGCATTGTTTCACAGCCACAAAGAACTACAACAGATAGCCTGGGATGAGCCAGGCTGAAGCCAAGAGTCTATGGCTTCATTGGAGTCTCTCATGTGGGGTGGCAGCGGCCAAGTGTTCTGACCATATTCCACTGCTTTTCCAGGTCTGCTAGCTAGACTAAAAGTGGGATCGCTGGGGCACAGTGGATACAGGCATCGCAGGCAGGGGTTTACCTCACTGCACCCCATGCTGTCCCTGACAGACTAACGCTTGGTTTCGGTGTATTTACTTCTGCTCTTGGTATGCACACACTTCCAAATGGTTGTAATTAGTTGATGTGGCCATTTCCAGTGGGCTTTTATAAATGTTTCCCAATTATTGCTTTGTTTTTTCATTGCAGTTATGTTGTCCTAGAATGATACATTTAGGAAGCTATCTGTGTTTCAGAAACACTTGCTCTTGGTTGTGGTCACATTCTTTGTTCTTCACACCTGATTGCAAATGGTTCCCCCTGGGGCCAGTTGTGAGGCGCTCTGCTTTGCTCCTTGCCCTTGCTCCCTCAGTCTCATCTCTGCTCTCAGACGGTTCATGTGCAACCTCCCGCCAAGCTTCAAAACCGACTGTGATGAGGGATAAAGACAGAAAAGAATACGCCAGAGAACAAATGAATGTGGTGCTTTGAAGGTGATGGCCTCTCTCCTCCCAGGTCACTGCAGAAAGCGCTCAATAGTCATAGAAAAAAAAAATAGCAAAGAAACATACGCTGCTCGTCTAATAATGATATGAGGGAAACTTTTGCTGTCTGTTGCATTTTTATGAAGTGGAAATAGAAACAAGACGGCCAGCATCATTATATTAATGCTGTTGGCACTTTTACCATATTCCATGAGATCAGCTTCTAATGTATCAAATTAGCTTAATACCGTAAAGTATAAACATAATGTGGTTATTCATATTTTATTCTCTTTTTTTCCTAGTGAGAAGCTGGATGGAAAAACTAAAAGACAAGGTAAGGAACTCATTTGCTTTCTTTGGATTTACTTTTAAAGTCTTACAACTTTGTCAAATAAAAGACTTCTAGAGTAGTACAGCTTTAAGTTTCTTTTTATAAAAGAGGGGTTATTTGAGATAGTGCATGTATGCACCAGAGAGAGGGAAGAAGGGAAGGTAGGGGATATGTGTGTGTGTATATATATACATAGAGAGAGAGAGAGAGAGAGAGAGAGAGAGACAGAGAGAGAGAGAGAGAGAGAGAGAGAGAGAGAGAGAGAGGACAGATCATTCGTATCTGCTGGTTGACTCCCTGAATACCTGTGATAGCTGGAGCTGGACACTTGGTCCAGGTCTGCCATGTGAGTGGTAGGGACCCTATTCCTCAAGCCATCACGCAGAATCTACATTAACCCTGAGTCGTCTACATTAACGGGAAGCTGAGCTAGGAGCCAGAACCAGTTCTAACACCCAGTTACTTTAATGTGGGATGTGGGCATTTTAACCGCTAAGCTAGAGGCCGAGCTCTAGCTTGCTCATCTTTTTCCAATAATCTATCCCAAGATGGAGGCCACTTCCATGTGCCCATCGGGAAGGTCTGTTATAGTCCTTCTGTAGTACACATGAGGCTGCTTATTCTTTGAAGCATCATGCTGTCATATAAAGGTGTAAGTCTGTTCAACTGAATCATGTTCTTGACATATGCAGGTGGTTTTTCCTCTAGGGAATTTCAAGAATGTAGCCATCCTAACTAACATTTCTTGTCCCCATGTGAGACTTTCTGGGTGTATAGTTTTCACGGTGCTGCTTCTTATTAACTGTTCATGAGCTGACCTGTATGAAATAGCCAGTGAGAGAAAAATATTTTTTCCTTTCCTATTAATTGCACATATATGGTGATTGGCAGCATTAGTTTTCAGGTTTATATTTTCATTTTCTTTAGATTTCCAACTCTTTCAAGTTTTCACTTTTGGTTACTTTGTGATTTTATACTGGAATAAAAATAGTGGTGAAGCCTTGAATTCCTTGGTGTAACCTGTGTCATATCTCATTATTATAACCAAATTCAGATTTTACTAGGGTTTCAGTTAAGTGGAAAGCTTATCAAGTGGCAAATATTGAATTACCTCCAATTCACCAATACTTAGTATACTGTGTCAGTGGTGTCCCATCAACCTTTTTGATTTGGAGTCAGTTTTTGCCAAGTAGTTATCATATGTACTTTTCTATAGTTAAATATTAATAAAACATTCCATTGTAATAATGATATAATAATGATGATATAATGCTATAATTCTCCTTGCTAATATTTTTTTGCTTCTCAGAAAAAGTTTAAGCTCATGGAATTTTTAGTGGTCCAGTGTGCAAAGGAGCTGTGATTGGAGGGACTTGAAACACTTGGGGGAAGAATAGTCCAAAGATTTAAAACCCAATATAGTTATGTCGGTATGCTTACTATTTTTCAGAGGAAAATGTGATGCAATGAAAATATAACAGGATCTGTTGTATTAATCTCAGAACCCATATGCCATTGTTTCTACAGAAAATATCCTGAGCAACTGTGAAGGGACAAATATAACCAAAGAAATTTTGCGATGCAATTTGTTTGAAAGTTAGCTATTGTAGAACATCTTACCTGTGTCTGTATGCCCACCGCTTCCTTTAAAAATCTGTTCAGTTCAAGGAGGGATTGCTGTGAATTTGGAAAGTCTGATGCCTGCTACCACTTCCTTTTCTTTTGGAGGAATAATTTATGTGTGACTCTTTTTTTTTCCCCTGGATTTTGAGGTTTTCCTAGCATTCTCATCATCTTTTAAAGCATTTTTCCCCCAACATTTCTTCTTCTTTTTTTTAATCTTTATTTTTGATGGTGTTTACATTGTTGATCAGGGTGGGAAGGATCACGGGGGAGGATAGGGAAAAGTGGGTGTAATCACTGTTTCTAAAGTTTCTATTTCTTCTTCCTGTGTCTGGGAGAAGGTGGGAAAATAAAAAGAGAAGCCATACCCAGCCTCCCAACTGCCTGCTATCCAGGGATGGGAACGGCCTCTTGTTAGAACCCAGGGTTCCCATGTAGCGCATGCTCTAAGAGTTCTGCTCAGGTGGTTTTGATAGTTCTGAAATGCTGTCGATTTTGCCAACCTAAGGATGAGGAATCCCTTCCAATGTCCATTGGCTAAAACAGTCAACCTTAGAGTCTCTGTTCACCCAGATTTTTGCTGTCATCATTTTTCTGGGGTAGTTGTGCAATGTATTTTGTTCTCCTTCCCCTGCTCTGTTACCAGACGTCCTCTGTAGGCTCCAATGGGTTGCCATTTCCTTCAGGTGCATCTGGACCTGCCGTCCACTGCTCTGTCTTTTCCACAGATGAGGAGGTCGAGTTTTTGCAGGTGGGCTCATGGGCTCAGGGGCTCCCAAGAACCTGGGCCCTATTGGATCCTGCTCCTGGAGCTCGCCAACAATGCAGACAGGCCCAAGAATCTAGGCCAGGTGACCCAGGCCATGCAGGACACCTCACCCCACCATTGGCTGTCCAATTGGAGGTCGCCCCCTCTGTCTCCAGGAGCATTGAATCAAAAGGACCCTCGACAGGCCTGATTCAAGGTTGCCCCCAGTGCCATTGCTGAGCGCATGGAGACCAACAAGCACAAGGAGCGCATGGAGTCAAGAAGACCCCACGTGTGCTCAATCCAAGGTCTCCCCCATCGCTAGCATTTCTTAAATAATTTTTTTAAATAGAAAAAAAAAGTCAAGACTATAGCAAGGATTTATTTGATATCTATATCTTATTTATTTAATGTTTTAATTAACATTTATGTCTTCACCTTTTGATTCTTTCTAGGAGGGACTCATTCAGATGTTTAAATTATCTACCCTTCCTCTATATGAAAAAATGTTACAAATCCTTTCATATGTGCACATGACCAGTCACATGTACACATGTGACTGTATCTTCTATACATATAACTGTCCATCACCTATGATCTGTATGTCTTGCCAGTCATTTTATTTGGAATCCACTGAGAGTGAGACGGTTGTCTCTTTGATGAAAGTTTTGGAATTGCTAACAAAATCACAGATTTAAGCTGGACCAAGCCACAACATGCTCTCAGCTTAACTTCATTTGACTTTTCCACTATTCATTCTCTTTTAGTCAGGCTCTAAAAAGAGTGGTCTTTTTAAAAGCCTAAGTTAACTCCTTTTGTTTTTGTTGTCTTTTTATACTAGCTTGGATTTATACCAATTGTAAGTCACGAAGAATCTCTGATATCATTGCCTTTGCTAAATTAGAAATTTGTCTGTCATATGTGAATCTAAAAATAGTTGTCGAGCATCAGTGGGAAGAGACACAGTGACAGGCACAAACTCAAGCTCCATCCTTGTGTCCTTCATTCCCAAGATCATCTCTTGCTCTATGTTGGCACTTCCAACTTAGCTGTGTCTATATTCTAGCCAGAAAGAAAGAGTAGGGGAAGATCAAAGGAGTCCTGCCCTTCTCAAAAGGAGAGGGTAAAGTCTCTCTCTGCCATTGTTTAAGGGGGCCAAAATAAAGGCTCTACTCCCCCCATTAAATTTTTACTTATTTCATTGAGAGGTACGTGTGCATTTAGCATCTCTTGTTTACCAGCAATGGTAGCTGAGCTGGGGTCAAAGTCAGAACTGGGGAACATAACCTGGGTCTCTCATGTCAGGGGCAGGAATCCAGTTCTTGGAGCCACCCCCACTGACTCTTGGGATCCATTTTAGCGAGACATTGGACTCAGGAGCTGGAGTTGGGAGTCAAACCCAGGTACTTGTACAATGTGGGCATCTTAAGTACTAGGCAAAGTACCTGATGCCTTTTAAAGAGTATGTCCTAGAATTTACAGGTAACACTAATTTGTTATCTTTGTGTTGAAATTTATCATATGATTATACCCAGCTGCATGAAAGGTGAGGAATAATTTGTATTCTGTGCTGAATCCAAAACTGAAGTCCTGTTGCTACAGAAGCAGGGAATGGCTGTTGTGGTGCATCATATGGATTTGATATAGAATTACCCTTCTTTTTGGTTAAAGATCTAGGTTGGGGGTGCTTGTCGGGTGAATCTTAACTTGACTAACCTACTGATAACCTTTGAGTAGCTAAACGACTTCTCAAAACTGAAGATACTTAACTATTTAGGTGTCTAATAAAGACCAGTCTTATTATAAAAAACCAAACTGTTTTCCTTTGATTTTGGTAGGTGATATTTCTTTAAGCTCATTTGTAAGGTGAATCTGGAAGAGGCATATTCTTTGAGTTTTCCTTTATTATGGAAGAATTTTGTTTCATTTTCAAAGAAAAAGGAAAGCTTTTCTGGGTACATTATTCTGGGCCAGCAATTTTTTCATTTTAGAATCTGGAATATGTCACTCCATTCTCTTCTGGCCTATAGAATTTCCTTTGAGAGGACAGCAGTGAGTCTGCTTGGGGCTCTTCTGTATGTTAATTGATTTTTTCATGTGCACATTTAAGGATCTTTTCCCTGTGTTCAACTGAACAGAGCTTGATTATCATATGTTGAGGTGAAGTTCACTTTTGGTCATCCTGTTGGAAGTTCTGTGTCTTCCTGTGTTTTGTTTCCCAATTCTTTCTCCAAATTAGGGAAGTTTTCATTTATTATTTCATTAAATACCTTTGTAAACCCAGCTTCTCTTTCTGCACCTTCTGGGACTCCCATAACTCTTACATTTGGCCCTTTAATAGTGCTCTGTAATTCCTGAATACTCTTCTTAGCTTGACTCAGATTCTCCTCCATTTTTTATTTTTTCCCCCAATTGTTGAAGGAAATGTCCTTCAATTCCAAGATCCTTTCTTCTGCCTGACTCATTCTATCATTAAGGCTTTCCATTGAATTTTCCATTTTCTCTATTGTGTCCTTCATTTCTAACAATGCAGTTTGATTTTGTTTTAGTGTTACTATATCCTGTGTGACTTATTCCTTAAATTCCTTCAACTCCTGTATGTGCTTCTCATTGTTACTAAGAAGTCTTGTAA